AAATATCATAAAAATGTATATATGTATGTGTCTATACTTAAAACTTTTATTTTAATATATATATATATACATATATATGTACGAACATTTGCAGATATACTATATCCACTGCATACCAATAATGATGAATATTCGCGATTATAGATACGTACATAAATTTTAAAATACAATATTTACTATATACTATATATGCATTGGAAGAGCTCACTTAACAAAAAAAAATTGGTTCAGACAAAATTTGTTACGATTTGAAGTGCAAAAAGACAAAAAATCAACAACTTAAAATGATTTTTATGCACCTTCAATGTGAAATATATGTAGTCCAAATCTGCTTACATACATACTTTTGTACATATTGTGTATATGTTTGCATGTGGTATAACAAATTGTACATAAAATAAATAAGAAATTGTGATGAACGCACTACTCGATGGTATTGCCTTCTTATATAGACTAAAATGCGTTTACGATTGCGATTGCGAAACATATAAATATATATTTGTATGTATAAATGTACGTACATACAGTTGTTTAATGGCATGTGTGTATATAATTACCTGTTTTTCGTATGTGAAATAATGTAAACATTTTAGACAAATATCTAGGCTTACTAGAATGTATGAATGACCAAACGGAATGTAATGTAGAAATGAAAACATACACAACAACATATGTTTGTTTGCAAATGTATTATATACATACTACGTTCGAAATGAACTTCGGAAAGAAGACCGTTAAACAAGGCAACGACTAAGTACAATACAAGGAGACAATATATGATTGTTGTACAATTAAAAATCGTAAAAAAAAAAATAACAAAAAAAAAATTAATTTACGATTAATAAAATTTTGAAGCTATGAATGTTGATAAGAAATAAATATAAATAAATAAATTTGTAAAGGTAGTAAAATATCTTTTTAATTTAATTAAATAATTTTTTAAGATAAATTGATTAACATACGCATATTGCCAACAATTTAAAAAAAATTAAAGAACTTGGAATACAAAAAAAAAAAATTTTTCTTAATAAAAAACATAACAAAATTTAAAAAGTATTAAAATTTTTTAAGTCACCTTGAATAATAAATGTTACCTTAATAAATAATAACATTATATTGAAAAGTTAAAATATCCAAAAAAAAAACCTAAGAGGAGATAAGATATCAAAAAATCTAAAAATTTTTAATACATCTAAATATAAACAAAAACATTTTTATCTAAACGAAACGCAAAATGCAGAAAATATTTTAACAACAAAAAATAATATAAATCTTGTTTTAAACACATTATTAAAAGAATTATTTCAAGTTTAAAATAATATGAGAAAATAAACAGAAATTAAATGACTGTTACACTAAATAAATTTAATGTTGACGAAAATCAAAAAAAAATATTTAGCAATGAAAAAACTATAATATATCAGTTATTAGTAAAAAATAAGTTTTAAAGATATTAAAAATGATTAAGAATTCAATAAAATGTGAACAGCTAACCAAACAGTAAACCAAAGGAATGCACTAAAAAATGTTTAATTTAAGTTATTTTAATTTAAAAAAATGTCTTTAGGCAGAGAGTTTATTTTATTACCCTATTATATAATTATTTAACGTTTTTTATTTTTTATTATTTTTTTTATTTTATTAGTTTTGTTCTATCATAATTTTTATTTTTTATTATATTTTTTTTGTTTTTTTTTTTATATTTTTTATTATTCTCTTCACGTTTTCATTATTATTTCTATTTTTTTTTACTCTGTTTCATTTTTTTCTGTAAATTTTATTTCTTTTTTATCAGTTCTTTGATTGCTTTTATTATTATTATTCTCAATTCTTTTTTAATTTTTTCTCTTCTAACTTTTTCATCTTTTTTAATGGTTTTAATTCTTTTCTATTTAATTTTTCATTTTATTTTTTCTATTAAGTTTTTTATTTTTTTTTCTCTTCTAACTTTTTCATCTTTTTTAATGGTTTTAATTCTTTTCTATTTAATTTTTCATTTTATTTTTTCTATTAAGTTTTTTATTTTTTTTAAGTTTTTTGTTTTTTTTTCTATAAAATTTTTTATTTTTATTTCTATAAAATTTTTTATTTCTTTTTCTATTAAATTTTTTATTTTTTTTTTATTGAGTTTTTTATTTTTTTTTCTATAAAAGTTTTATTTTTTTTATTTTCTATTAAATTTTTGTTTTTTATTTTCTATTAAATTTTTGTTTTTTATTTTCTATTAAATTTTTATTTTTTTTTATTTTCTATTAAATTTTTATTTTTTTTTTTATTTTCTATTAAATTTTTATAATTTTTTATTTTCTATTAAATTTTTATTTTTTTTTTATTTGCTATTAAATTTTTATTTTTTTTTTTTTATTTTCTATTAAATTTTTATTTTTTTTTATTTTCTATTAAATTTTTATTTTTTTTTCTATTAAATTTTTTATTTATTTTGTTAAATTTTTTATTATTTTTTTTATTACTTTTTTATTATTTTATTATTTTTTTACTATTTTACAATTTTTTAATTTTTATTATTTTTAATTTAATTTCTTCATTTTTTATTTAAATTTTATTATTTTTAATTTTTTTTTTTCATTTAATTTTTATTATATTTAATTTTTTTTATTATATTTAATTTTTTTTTTATTATATTTAATTTTTTTTTTAATTTTTATTATATTTAATTTTTTTTTTAATTTTTATTATATTTAATTTTTTTTTAATTTTTATTATATTTAATTTTTTTTTAATTTTTATTATATTTAATTTTTTTTTAATTTTTATTATATTTAATTTTTTTTTTAATTTTTATTATTTTATATTATTTTTAATTTAATTTTCATTATGTTTTTTAATTGGTTATACTTTAATATTTTAGTTATTTTTATATATTTTCTCATATTTTTTAAATTGATTTTAATTTTTTTGTAATTATTATCATAAGCATGTATTATTATTATATTTTATATACTTAGTTTTTTTAATATTTTAGATTACTTTTAATTATTATTTTTTTATGCTCATTGTTATCCAATGCATTTTATTGTTTTTATTTTTACTTTTATTTAATTATTTATTTATTTAAATTTTCATTTATTAAGATAATTTATGTTTATTATACTTTCAAAAAATTTATTTGTTTAATAATTTTTTTGTTTATTATTGTATATTTATTTTATACAATATATATTTAATTTTTGTTTTTTTTATTCTTATAATTTAATTTAATTTAAATTTTTTTTGATTGTAACCATTTCATTTTATTTTTTTTTTCATTTCTCTTCTGTTTATTTTTCTTATAATTTTAATTTTTTTGAATTTTTTTTTTTCAATTTTCAATTTTGTTTTTTTTTTTTAATTGTACTATTATTAATTACTATTCTTTAATTTTCTTATTACTATTTCAATACTTCCTTTTTATGTTGTCTTTAATTTTAATTTAAAAAAAAATATTCTTTAACCTTTTTGTTTTTAAGTTTTTATTTTTTTAGTACCTCTTGTAGTGAAATAAGGTTTTTTTTAGATAAGTTTTATTCTTTAAAATGCTTTTATGATTTTGAAATAGGACATTAAGTTAAAAGGCTTTTATTAAAAGTTGTAATCAAGTGGATTAAATAAATGTTTTGTATAAATTCCCTTCTTTTACTCGATTCAGTGAATATTCTATTAATTTACTCAAAAATCAAAATTAGTTATAATATTTTCACTTTATTTAAAGTAATAATGAAAAAGTTATAATAATAAAAATTAACATTTTCAAAGTCTCTATTGTATATGATTGAAAATCCCACTACATTTTTACCAATTTTATAATATTTTTTAACTAAAAAAATGAAATCAAATTCACATTCAGCTTCAAAATCTTCGAGGCTTTAGCCCAATGTGCGCATTTCAACACACAAATTGCAATATAGAATTTACCTTCAGTCACATGAAACGGCATTAGAAAGCATTTGTAAGTGAAACAAAATTGGATGACATACAACGGTAATGCAGGGTGAGGTGAGGTGAAACTGATAGATAGCACCACGTGTGTCACTACTTATTCTACTACATTTTCCCCGACACTTCTTATTGACAAAATCAAATGCACTTGGCACAAAAAAATAAATAAATAAATAAAATGAAAAAGGAAAAAACAAAACAAGAACTAAAAAATTTAGGGAAAGTGAAAATGAAAGTAAAACTGAAAATGAATTTGCAATAAAATAAAATTACTGTATTAAATAAAAAAAAAATACATAAAAACAATGAATAGTTTGTATGTAAATAGTACCAAAGAGAGGTGTGTTGTATTTGTACACAACAATGACACAAAACTGTTAGTATTTGTATGTATGTATAAACGAACGAAAAGTGAACCTCGAGGAAATGAAGAAATGTAATGGTAATAGGAAACACTCAAGTTTAAAAAGAAATAAACAAGGTGAACACATAAGAAATGTGACAGACAAATACAGATAGATATTTAGTTTTGAAAACATATAGAGAGAAAGAAAGAGGGACATTGTAAAACATAGAAATTGTACTGTATAACTTTTTTTTTTTTGATTTTTTTTAATTTTTTGTTAGTTTTAATTGTGGTTGTGTTATTTTCCTGCTTGCACTTTTACAATTGTGTTGTGTTGTAAAATAAACGTTGAAGACAGTTTGCATTTTTTCTTGTATTTGTTATGTAGTTTATATGTTCATAGTTTAAATAAAAAATACATACATAATCATAAATATATATGTACCGTTAACATACATTAATTAATAGTATAGAGATATGTATATAGTCATGTTTTAAATTAAATATTATACATATAAACAAATATATGTATATTTTTTAGGTAAATTAAGTAAATACTTGAATTTAAGACAAATCAAAATATACAATAATAATAATAATAATAATAATAATAATAACAATAAGAATAATATAATATATTACATGTGAGCATAATTAATTAGTAAATCATGTGTGTGTATTTATATCATAAAAAAAAATTTGTCATTCGTTTACTCACCAGCATAAGTCGCTAAAAATATCGAGAGGAATGAAATGACGCTTGCCAAGAATTTCGCCTCCATCTTTGGTATTGATCCGTGGTTTGTACTTTTATGCTTATTATTGTAATTATAACAATCGTGATGATTTTTACAATTTCTTTTAACTACTGTTGTTGTTGTTGTTGTTGTTGTTGTTGTTGTTGTTAGTGCTGCAGTTGTTTTTGTTGATTGCTTGGTTGGTTGGGTGGTTATTTTTGGTTGCTGCAACCGGTGTTATTGCTGATGTTGTTGTTGTTGTTCTTGTTGTTACTTTTACTTTCTTTTAATTGTTGTGATTTGCTTCTTATTTTTTTTCTGCAATTTTTGTAAACTTATTCGTTTTACTTTTCCTCTGTATTTTACAAAATTGTGTTGCCACGTCTGTTGTTGAATTGAATATTATTTCTATTAATTTTTGTTGATATAACGAGAATTATTGTTTTGAATTTTGTTGCTAATTGGTTGTCGAGATTATGCTTCTTGTTCTTGCTGTTATTAACGGCGGTTGTTGCAGCTGTTATTCTTGTTGTTGTTGTTATGGTTATGGTTGTAGTTGCTAAATATGTATGTATAGTCGTATGTAAGATAATCGGTGTTATTTAAATTTTATCTCTACTTCAATTTACTCTTTTAGCTTTATTTTTCAAACGCTCGCAAATGCTTTTATAAATTTCAATTTCAAATTTCTGCTTTTAAATTTCTTGGTATGATTAATTAATGCTTTTAAATTTTAATTAACTCTTCTATTTTTTAAATATTTATTTTATTTTTAATTAAATTAATTTTCTTCTATTTTTTTTTTTTTTGCGTGCTAATTTTGTTATCAAACGTAGTTATACCGTAACATAGATTTAAGTATGCATGTATGTATGTATATTAATTAATACATAAAATTTACGCTTATTTTCCTATATTGAATCCAAAGTTGATCGTCGTCTTCGTATTAATCGTCGTCGCAGTTAAACGAGCTGCATATAAATATTTGCATACATATGTATGTAGGTATGTACATACATATATTTGTAAAAAAAAAAACAGAAAAAGAAACCAATAAAAGAAAAGTGCATTTGATGTGAACAAAGAAACGTTAATCGAATAGTGACGACAATGGGCGACGACGAGGACGACAACGACGACGTACGTAACAGCAACCGCAGCGGGAATGACGACGATCAGTCAAGATATACGTACATACGTACATATGTATGTAAGTATGTATGGGCGTTTATTGGAAGCGGTGACAGTGATGTCAGGGCGCGAAAAGATTTGAAAAAAGGAAAAAAGAGAGAAGAATAATGTTTAACCTTTACACGCCAAGCAGTACAAGCATATAGATTAATTTAAGAAAAGTATTTATATATATATGTACATATGTATCTATCTATATTCATTAATAAAATACGCGTTTTCGCGCTTTTTGTAAATATTTTTGCGTTTTTATGTTTGTATGAAAGTGTATAAGTTTATTTACATCTCTTCAATTTGCAATGTTAAAGCGGGCCGTGTCGAGAAGTGGACCAAACTTTGCAGTGTTCATTAAAAAAAACTGTTTTGAAATGCAAAATAATTTCAAGATACAGATTGTAAGTGGTGTACAGTACACAAATTTTAGTTTTCGAACAGCATATGCAACCAAAAAAGTATTTTCTTCGATTATAATAATTAAAAAATATCAACTATTATACTTATATAATTTTAAACTTGAACACAAAAAAGTTATTCCCCAATATTAGGTAAGCTTTAAGGCAACTTTAGAGCTGCCTCTAAATTTATCACAATTTTCCTTACGCCAGAGAAAAACTTAAGAACTATAAGCTTCTCAAAAGTTCAGTTTTTTTTCGATACCTTTAAGGCCGTCCTTTCAAATATTGTAACGTTTTTCAATTGAAAGTTTTCACAGTTTCAACAATAAACTTGCTTTCCATACTTTTTTATAGCGTTAAACTTGATTTCCAATTATTTAATTTCAATTTCTACATACGGAAACAGCAGGAGTTCAACGCAAATCACTATTTAGGTGTGCTGTATACATATTTCTCTACATAAAGTTCACTTCAACGTTCAAAACTTAAAAATACACACTTTTAAATCAGCAAATAAAATAAAAAAATCTAATTTCCCGAAACAAACTGTGCACAAAATCGTACAGCTGATCACACCTTTAAGGCCAACAAACGCTGATATTGTCCGCAGGGAGACACACACAACTAGAAAGAATGCAAGGATTATTTAAATAAAACGAACTGCAAGATTTAATGTGGTTTTGGACAGGCGCAGACACAATTTGTTGATCATCAAACGCGTTGACCGTCATTCACCTCAAAGTAGGGAGCGAAAGACCACACATAGCAAAATAACGAAAAAAAAGCGAAAAATGGCGCGTTGTATGCATGGAGTGGCGGACGGTGTGGTGACTAGTGGCTAATACGCACGCACAATTTGTATATAATTTTATTTAAAACCACACAGTTCTCACTGATGCCCCGTATGTTAAACAGACAGATAATTTCTATTTTTTGTTTTTAAAATATTGGGCTTTTTGGTTTTTGCTCTTTTCGGTTTTATTTTATTATTATTATTTTTTATTTCATTGTGCTTTCGGCAACGCACAAGTAAACGAAAACGTACCAGCAGCAAGCAAAGCGATAGGAACGAAAGCAAAGCACGCGGACACGACAATGACGAACACCGTACTGACGGACTTGAGTATTTTTCACAAATTGTAACACACTACTCGACACCGCAAGGAATCGAAATCCCCCGACCGACAATGACAATTACCGACTGTTCTAAAGTAGACTTTGTGTGTTTGCTTGTACTCGTGCATACGTAACGTTTTAACAAGACAGCAAAAATGCGATAACGCCAATAGAATGGTGTAAAAAATAAAGAGAAAAAATAATAATAATATAACTCTTTGTATTATCGACAAAGATGAAAAAAAAAACAAAGAAATCGAAAATAAGCACTAACAATGAGTGACCAATAAAAACCAATAACAGCAGAACAAAAAAATTAAACGGCGCGACGCGATGACACTAACTGAAAGCTCAGTCTTAATGCAGCAGTGGCGATGACGATAACGGCTGCGAGCACAACATTCGCGAACGAACACAAATTAGCGACTAAACAATACCAAAGTACCAACCATGGACGGTGAGCAGCCAACGACGATACTCGCAATCACATTATAGCCAACAAACAGCTTATGGTCAGATAGCACTGACTTGTTAGAAATTGGCAGAGCGTGTTGGCGGAGCCCAAATGTACGAGTATTCACGTATGTACATATGTATGTATGTAGGCTGAATTGCTGGTTGCGGATCGGCTGTTGGGAAGCGAGAATCTGTATCGGAATGAGATAGGGGTTTATCATCAACGCTCGAGTCATCAGCGCAGCGCAGTGCGGTATTTACATTTCTTTATGTTTTGTGATAACTGTGGAGTGCGTGGATTTGCTCTTATTAAACAACAGTTTTTATCTAACTTTAGTTTATTTAAGTCAGATGTACGTAAAATTGTGTATTTAATATTGAAAAATAAATTTTTGTTTTCTAAAATCTAGCAGCATAAATACATATATGTCTACAATATACATACATACAGTCATATGTAAGTGCATATATGTATATGTATGTGTAAAAATGTTTGTTTTATGCCAAAACTAATTAGTGCTATTTAGCATAAAAATATATGTGCATAGATAGCAGGATTGCTGCATACATATAAACATACATATAACCTCACGCTTTGTGGCAATTTCATTATCACTGACAACGAAATTATATTCTTAATGAGAAATCTGTCGCGGCAATCTGACGTCTATACTCAGTGCTGTTTATATAGCACAAGCCACATATTATGTACACAAATACGTATACATGTACATATTTATGTATGTATGTATATGTATATACTTATTTTTGTGTACATAAATAGTTGACCGGTCGAAAAGTAAGCCACGAACTCAGTAACAAATAACAGCAACGCACTCTCTATAGACCATAAACGCCACAAACAGGCACGTGTAGGCTTCGCCGGCAAATTACATATACATATATATATGTACATATGATGTATTTATTTAAAAGTATGTGTGGAAACATGTGTGTATGTGTCTGAAATAGGCAATAATGTCGATTGTCGTCGGCGACAACAATCTTTCGTCTTGGGCAAACTCTAATTCAGTGTGTGAAAATTCTTAGGTTTTTTTTTTTGTTAGTGTCGTTGAACTGACAATATCACATTTTTGCACTAGTTCGGCGAAAAATCAGTCCGTCAGTCGTCTATTTTCATAGGAAAAATTGTTTTATGTCCGTATATATTTGAAATCCTACAGGAAAAATACTACAGAATATTGATGTATGTGTGTATGTACATGCCACACATACATATGTTGTGCCACTATCGCCAACTAATGTTAAGCAAGTTTCACGTTTTATATCGTAGATGAATTCCCTTTTCAATAGCCTTGAATGAGAGTACTCGTACATATGTAAATATGTATGCATACATGTGGGTGCAGGCGTGACGTTCAGTACCGTTATAGTAATTAAGATAGTGCTCTATCTACAGCTAGCAGTCACGCAGCGCTCTACGGCAATAACACTTTTTGTTTTTCGAATTGATTGCTTTGAATTGTTTGATTCAATACTGAAGGACCTGTCAGCGTTAAACAATAAAGGTGAAAAATTCAAAGGGTTGCAAAGGGTTTGTCTCGTAGCAGTTATTTAGAGTAAAAGTAAAACAAACAAGCATTTTTATAACAATTATTATGAACAATGTATTATCTGCTGAATATGCAAAAGCAATTTTTAAATATTTTCTTTCATATTTTGCAAACTTAATATTGTGTCCCCCAAAAATATTTAAACTTTACACAAGTAAACGGCTAATATAAAATACATAAAAAATAAATAATAATAAAGAAAATTTTACAAATTACAGGATTTTAGTTTATTGTGGACTCTTACGTATTTTCTAAACACAATTTTAGTTCCTATTCTAAGTCATGTTAAGTTTTTATTTACACTCTGCTTGCATAAAAGCAAATCGCTTATTTTTTTATATTTTGCACTTATTGAATTAAACATTTGTGCGTAAGTAAATGTATGTACTTCAGCTAAGCAGCACTAGAAAAAGTATTTGTTTTAGAAAATAACTTTAAGGAATATATGCTATTTACATCGCGTGCTCAGCGTGTAGTAATTTCCTGAGAGCTCCTAAAATTATGCTACCATATACTAAAGTCATTTCCTATTAACCCCCAAAATTATGCCTATATCCTGCCAAAGTCCTTGTTTACCGCAACTTGAATTAGCAAAACCCGTTTCGAAAAATCATCTGTGCTGATTTAATGTGATGACAAAACTTGCAAACACTGACTAATAACAACAATATATATTATACATGCGCCAATATTCTTATTCGGTACATTACACTGAGCTGATGACTGCTGAGTTTATATGAGATGGATGACGTTATTTTTGCTGGACACGAGTGTAAACTACTGACGACAACGCGATTAGGGCGAAAAACGAGATGAAACAATATGCGATGAGGTTAGAGCTGTTAGCTGTTTGGCACTATGACATAGCTGAACCAATATAACGTTGTGGTATTGCAAGAGTTCTCATAACAACTAGTATTCCATTTATGTTTCTTGCTTTTTTTTCAGCCGCCTAATGTGAAGGAAACTCAGTCAGCCAAGCATTCAGCCTCCAACAATACATTGTATTTTCAATGCACATACATGTGTACATGTACATGGATTTGAATGTATGTGAATTTGAACTGCATTCCGATATAAAGTTAAGTACAGAATGTAGAATTTTTTGCATGCAGGCGGGTAAGGCGCATCGCAAAATGACAGAATTTGTGGGTGAGGCGATGACGGATGCCAATATGTTCGTATGTAGTATTAAATGTTTGTAAGCATGTCAGGCCGTACGGTATGTATGCCCACATGGCTATGGGTTTATGTGCTAAGTAAATATGCATATGCGTGTGCGCGTTTTACTAAGCGGTGAATCAAATCACGAGTACATCCAGCCGGAGAACAGACAGACAGGCATTGGTTGTCTCAATGATAGCAGTGGCGGTACTCCAATTTTTCTATTGATCAATTTCTATACACAACACTTGCATGCAACGCTAAGTTGAAATTTTTTTTATCTCTTATTGTATTTAATTGCTTTGGAGTATAGAAAAATTGAAATATGAATAACTTATTGTACGCTAACCTCACAGACAAAAACAAAAATAGAATCGAGGTGCTCCGGGCTAGTTGACGGACGTAGCGATTTGCACAGAACCGTAGCGGTCAAATTTTTGGCCATAATGGGAACACCGAAAAAAAAAATATACAGATAGGCTCCACCTTACTTGCTACACCTGGTGTGCCTGCTGATAGTAGAACAAATAGCAAATATGCAAACACACACAAGTAAAAACATTCTTTTTAACCTTACGGGATATTCCCATTTCTCATTTATGCAATAATCGTACAACAACACCAACTAATTTAAGAAAAACACACAAAATGTATTTTTTCTTTTGAAGGAAAATGGCACAAACCCCACGATGAAAAAGAATAATGAGACACGAGAACGGGGGGAAAAAAATTCACCGATGGCCACGGACGGCAATGACGAAATTCTTTGCCGTTCCCTTATGTTTGCCTGTTTTAGCAGTATTTCCGTTTTGTGTTGGTATATTTCGTAGTATGGTTAATACAGGTGTATGAGTATTCGAGTGTATAGTGTGTGGATTGTGGTGGAGGTGGAAGAGGATTTGCACATTGGTAGTGAATCTTTCATATTGGAATTTTTATTTGCATCTTCATCTTCCGATTTTAAAAATTCAACTTATTCGCTTGTCGCTGAATATGATTTTATTTGAGATAGCCTTTTTCATGCCTTCACCTTATTCTTTCTCCTTTTTTCACGAATGCCTCCTTCCTTCCTCGTTCCTCTTTTTCTATCCACGTTCAATTCCAAATCACTTCGCCTTTTCACTTTTCGATTTTTTCTCGTCGAGAATTTTTTTCACACTTTTTTCTTAAACTCATCACTGCACTCTTATTTTCCCGCTGTTGTTCATAATTATTGCATTATGGCAAACGATTCGTCATCAATACACCTCGCACTTTATAATTATTTTATGAATTTACCTAAGCACAGAATACAGAATTTTATTTTCTTCTATTCTCCCATTGATGATGAATTTTTCACTTTCGGCTCGCACTTCAGTCTGCGAGTGACCTTACTATGCGCAGGGTTGTAATAATGTAGCTGTCAAAAACAAATGTGTACAAATTTCAGCAATATATTTGGATTTTGTAAACCAAATACATTTACTTTGAAAAAAGAGAAGGCAGCACTATTCATTAAGCTAAATTTTTCTTTGAATTTTTTATAAAATTTTTCATATACCGTTTAACGTTCAAATTTTCGGTTTTAACATTAATGGTAATAGCATTAGTGGAGCCTTTTAAATAGAGTTAAAATTTAAATAGAGTTAATTTGAGTACAAGTTTTGGTCGAATAATTGTAATTTTCAAACCTTTTCGCATTTACTTGGTATTTATATAGAATTTACATTTTTGTATAGCCTTGGAATTTCTTTAAACGAATCAAATTAAGTATAGTAGTCGGGTTTCAAATAATTTATATTTCTTAAGTAGGTAAATTTAGTGTAACTTGGGCATATATGATGGATCCACCCAACTCTCTGAAATTTCCCTTTTAACTAAAGGTTATGGCTCAATGACAACTGGCTTTTCGAGCTTTGCTGTGAGAACTGTCAAAACTGAATAGAACTACACTAGAAGGTATGAAAAAGGTAAATATAGTCGCTTTGAGCACTAGAAATACTGCAAGGTTTCAAATAAATTTATTTTCTATTTGCTTTTACTGTTAGATATTGTAACTTCGGCGGTCATTTTGGTTAAAATGTATACAATTTCACAGCGATCCAAGTGTTTATTAAGTCATACCAACATTGAAAGTAAGACAAGCCAAGGAAAGCAAGCGCACCGAGTTTACCTTAACGCTGGCGTCAACTTGACAGTTTTTTCGCACCGCTTGAGTGACAACTTGACTCTGATGCGCGAAATTAACTAACAACTCAAGGTTGATAGATTGCAAACTCTCCTCTTTTTAGGTACTATTAAGTTTTAATTTTAAATCAAAGAAATTTGCTAAAAAAAAAAAAAAAACAAAGCTGAAAATACACAATTTAATACCTGCTGTTTGTGGACGTGTATAAAAGGACAAGAGTTAATCAGCAATCGCTCATATCTGCTTAACACTGATTGTTCAAACTCGTGTTTTTAAATATATGTAATGCGTATATTATATCAGAAAAATTTTCAGTTCGAGCTCAATACATAAATAAATGGTAAAATTAACACTATTCAGAAGAAATAAAAAGATAAACAAATAATTTAAACTTTTCTCTTTCCTTCAATTTGTTTCAGTTCTGCGTAACGGTCATAACAATTATTGGGCTATTGATCCAAACACGCCATTTTATAAAACCATTATCATAAAAAAAGTGAAATCCTTTTCTTCAATCTACATTATCATTGAATAAGAAATGTTCGCAATTCTTTCTCCTTTCACCAATTAGAATTGATTAAAAACCAATTGGAAATTGATACATTCCACCTGTTACAATTCAAACCAGTTATGGACTTGACAACCCTGCAAACGTAATAGAACAGCTTATTTGTAGTAGAGTGTGTTGGGGGAGGAAAACAGCATTCATTAGTTTGTCATCATCGCGTTAGTGCGTTGTGAATTGTGTGTTATTTTTAATTTATTTTACAATTAATTTTATTTATATTAGTTAATAAATCGGGTGCAAATAATGTTGAAAAAGTTGAACAGTTATCACAAAAAATATTAATTTTTCTCAAAGGTAAGTGTTGCTAAGAAAAAACTATAGAAAACAAGTAGTGATGTTGACAACGCCCGGATGAAGAGAGGCTTGACAAATACCTTTGCTTTGGTGTTGCTGTAATTGAAAGCCATTGTTGTTGGCACATGGGCGTTGACCAGAAAGTAAAATTTGTTTTAATATTATTTTTGAATTAAATAGCGTTTGTTATCTACGCAAGAAAGTTTCAAAATCCGTTCGTGCTCTTGAATATTTAAAATTTGAATCAAACTGTATAGACAGAATGGTGGTGGTGGCAGGTGGCTGTATACAACATATATTCCACCCAAATACGAAGAATTATCTTGAGAATTCAGAGTTTCAGTTTTCAGTTTTCAGTTTGTGTTGATGCACTTTTCATATTTGGTATTATAAATAATATCCCTGTATTGAGTCAAACACCAAATGGCTTAAAAGGGTTCGCAAATTGTGTTTCCACTTCAACTAACTGCCAACCAGTTTGGCAATTAAGCTTTGGCCCATGAACGTGCGCCCTTCATTAATTAATTCACATTATGAATCATGTAAAGGGGTGAAAAATACAACAGTAGGTGCTACAACAACAATTAATGTACATATGTTTGTATAAATGAATATAGTAGTACCTTACTGGTCATTGCAAATATGCTTTATGTTTTACAACGAAAACGATCGCTTCACTGCGCACGCGGCCAAAACAGCGACTGCTGTTTGGTGTATATTTTTTTTTTTCACATACATATGTATGTATGAATATTACAACTAATGCAGCAGCATTTTCCACTTCGGTGAGATAGTCAAGTGTCATATCGCACATGGAAAGCGTATGTTAATATGAATGTACGCCTGTGTGAACAACATCCGTATAGTAAGTTGTATTAAATCGGTATTATGCTGTAGGCGCATAATTTGGAAATAATACAAGTAGTCGGCTTTTCAATAATTGCTCAATACTTCACCAGAAATAGCTACTGCACGTTTTTATAATGTACATATACATATATGTATATATACATATTTACATAGTGTTATGTGTGCATATGCTGCACCATTAGCATATTTGGAAAAGCTGATAACCCTAAAATCGTTTTAATTGATGGGTCACCGACACAAGACATTTATTAGGGATCAATGATTTAGTTTTTATAATAAATTATATGCTTTGCATACTTAGGTATATATGTATGAGTTTCAGTGCGCAAAGTAAAAGTTCATTTGATTTCCATAATTTATTGCTACAGTTGACTGAATCAGTTTATAGTATTTTTACCCTCATAAACTTACTCTGAGAAACTTTATATGCCATAATATTATTGTTAGGTCTATTATATGGTTATTCGATCGTTGATTATAAACAAATGTTGCTTGTCTTGATACCATCATATGCATACACATATGCATTGAAACGCTTACGTCTGAGCTAAAATAATATTCCGCTGTTAATCAATCACTTTTGTTTGCTTTCTTGTGTTTTCACAACTTTTAAACACTAGTATTACGTAAATGATTAGTCCATTGACTTCCCGCCGTCGCATTCGGCAACCCAAATGGACTCTATAAATATAGAAAATGTTCTGATTTCCCAATACGCTTTTCATTAGGATTATTTAGCGGTAGGAAAATGTCTATTATCCAACGGCATCCAGTACTCGGCCTATATGAGAATTTGGCATCGATCGACACGCACTAATTTTAGAGTATGCGAAGCAATAATGTATGTATGTGTTCTGTTTTGAAGCGATACGGCACAGTGTTTAGGTTGTGGTAAAGAATTAATCAAATTTTCTTTAATTTTTTTTTGTTTGGTCCAATTGATGTTGAACTGATCGCACAGTTTTTAAGCCAGTTTTTGAATGTTAATATATAAGAAAAACCAAATCGGTGATAAATATACTTAAATAAACGTACAATATGCTTTTGGGATTTTAAATTTTCGGAAAATGATAAAATCAATCATCTTTAAAATATAATACTGAAAGTAAACATTTTTAAACTTTGACCACTGTATTTCGGGTCCATAATTCATATTTTTTTTTTGTATTTGTTATAAAATGAACTTTTCATGATTTTGTCGCACTGTGCCTACCACCGTGTTAGAACAGCGATTCATACATACCTACGGCACGTTCACAGTGCAGTTTTATTTGTGCGCCTGCACTAGACCGAATATTCAAAATTCCCATTCAGTTGTTTGAAGTCATTCAAATAAGTGTGTGCTGTGTGGTGGCAATTTACTCTTATAAGCATATATTCTGTCGCACTTCATTCATATTCTCGTTTTCTTCACTTACAGATTACATAAAACGACATTTAAAACGTCCCATGGGGAAAACGCTGGCCGACATGTCCTTCTCGGCGGCAATTAAACGGTGGCTGCTGGCGACTGTGCTACTTGTGCTCATTTGCAAATTAAGTATTATTGCTGCTCAGCAAGATACTTATTATAATACCCAACAACAACAACAACAGCATCAGCAGCAACAACAACAAACATTCAATCAAAACAATCCACAAAATGCATTTCCCGGCTCACAAGGTTATGACGATGTGAATCAACGCTTCAATAGCGATCCCTATAATACGAATCTCAATCAGAATACAAATTACAATGCGAATGATCGTGACCGTACTCGCTATCGCACTGATAACTTTAATGATCTGCCACTAGACGAACGTCCAAATACGAATTATGGCGCGGATGAAGACTTAAACTTTGGTCGCGGTAAATCTTCGTACAATGTGAAGGCAACTTTCCTCGAATCATTCCACTCACGTGAACCGACTTATTTTATAGTCGCTTCACGTATGGTCCGCCCCGGTCTCATCTATAAGGTGGCTGTATCTATATTACGTGCTCAATATCCAGTTACCGTGCATGCGAGTATCTCCTGTGATGGCGTGCAGATTAGTGGTGAGTCCAAGGATGTAAAGGTGGGCGTGCCCGAGACAATGTTGATGCGTGTGCCACCGACAAGCGTGACGGGCGAATACAAATTGCGTGTGGAAGGCTTTTATCAGGATATTTTTGGTGGTTTGGCTTTTTTAAATGAGACACGCCTGGATTTCTCACAGCGTTCGATGAGTATTTTCATACAAACTGATAAACCTCTGTATATGCAAGGCGAAACTGTGCGTTTCCGCTCAATACCGATTACAACAGAATTAAAGGGTTTCGATAGTGCAGTTGATGTGTATATGTTGGATCCAAACCGACATATAGTGCGTCGTTGGATATCACGGTAAGAAAAACATCAAAAAAAAAATATAATTATAATTAAATTTATAAAAAATGTTTCATTGTTTCAGACAATCCAATTTGGGCTCAGTTTCTTTGGAATACAAACTATCCGATCAGCCGACATTTGGTGAATGGACTATACGTGTAATTGCACAAGGGCAAGTGGAGGAGGGTCACTTCAGCGTGGAAGAATACTACCAGACACGTTTTGAAGTAAACGTCACCATGCCTGCATTCTTTTTCACCACCGATCCGTTTATTCACGGACGTGTTATGGCCAATTTTACTAGTGGTCATCCAGTACGCGGCAATCTCACTCTGAAAGCTACCATCAGACCCATCGGTTACTTCAGCAATCAGGTGCTGAACGAAAAGTTTCGCTTAGGTCGTTCGCCCACCGAAGAAGCTGCACGACATATACAACATCAACAACAAATGTATTATAATTCGTACAACCCAGTTCCCACACCAGAAGATGTTAACCGGAATCAGGATTTGCTTTATCGTAATCAATATGTCGTTGAGCGGCATTATGAATTTGAGGAAGAATGGCCATTTTGGGTTCGTAAGCCAGATGTACAAGACACATACGATGCATGGACCGGTAGTTATCGGAAAACCTTACCATACCTGCGGTACTTCAATGGCACCTTTGACTTTAAATGGCCAATACGCGAGCTGGAGGTATTGGTGCCCAATTTGGCTGGTGAGTGCTTGGGAAATGTTGTCCTGCGCGGACTGAGAACTAATAGGTGATTTGACAAGACTCAACAAACTTGGGAGCTTATGTAATATTCAACCTGAAAACGCTTACTTACATCAGTACTAGCTGAATTACACCAAATTTTTCAGTGTTGTATTCTAGATATCTAAAACTATATGGAGCTGATCCTCGATTCAACCAATTTCGACAGGCCACAGCACTCAATAAACTCTCCACGCAATACATGGAATATTCGTCCAATAACGTTTCCTTTTCAGCACATGAAGCTCATTCGTGAGCTCCAAGCTATAAATTCATTCCCCGAACTTCTTAAATTCCAATAAATTCAGTGTTTTAACACCAACACTTACCCAATAGCAACAATGATCCAACAGCTTACATATATCCAAACGGTACTCCTTCTTCTATCCTAGAAAATTGCACAATTTCATTGGGTCTAAAGTGGTTTTGTGGTTTTACGTCTTGATACTAACGTCTTTGTTATATATTTATAAAACGAATTAAGTTTTGCCGAACTGCGTAAGGATGATATGAATTTGAACACTACAGATTTTCGGAATTTTTCGCAAAAAAAGGTTACACATGATTAGGGACGAGACTATGTTTCCCAAAACAGTATGGGGGTCCTTCCTTTTCCCATGAAATCCCCAAAATGAGGTAGTTTGACTGAAACTTACCGAGAGATCTCGTCCACGTCCGGTTTAATGACCTCGACATTGAAGGGACTACTTATCATCTATTAATTTGCATGTTTCTCTCCATTCAGGTATGGAAGTCTTGATCACTGCTACAGTTGGGGAAAAATTCTACGATGAAGTGATTTCAGGATATGCCATTGCTCGCGTTTATAATTCCAGCATACGTGTAGCATTTTTGGGTGAATCGCCGCAGGTCTTCAAACCCGCTATGCCCTTCACCGCCTATTTGGCTGTGGAGTATCACGATGGCTCACCAATCGATGTAAATCTTCTTAGACAATCCGTGATGGACGTCACCGGTTTCGTGGAAAGTAAAAGCGGTGGACGACGAGATTGGCCGGCAACGCGGCTTCAAATGTCTGCCGCTAGTCCTGGTATTTGGGCTGTAAAAGTTGATTTGCGCAACGATCTGCAGCTAGATGATCGCCCACAGTCACGTGACTTCCTAAATGGTGTGGAACGTATACGCCTACAAGCAAGCTTCATTGATCCACGCGGCGAACGCGCACAAACCGAAGTACTAATGGTCTCGCATTATTCACCACGAAATCAACACATCAAAGTTTCGACTAGCACAGACACGCCCATTGTCGGAGAGTATATTATTTTCCACATTCGCACCAATTTCTATCTCGAGGACTTCAACTATTTGATTATGTCGAAGGGTGTGATACTGATAAATGATCGTGAGACCATCACAGAGGGCATACGAACGATTGCAGTTGTGTTGAGTGCAGAGATGGCGCCCATGGCTACGATTGTCGTCTGGAAGATAACCCTTTCGGGACAAATAGTTTCCGACTCGCTCACCTTCCCGGTAAATGGTATTTCGCGCAATAATTTTACAGTCTACATCAACAATCGCAAAGCACGTACGGGTGAGAAGGTAGAGGTAGCCATTTTTGGTGAGCCCGGTTCTTATGTGGGTCTCTCCGGCATAGACAGCGCGTTCTACACCATGCAGGCGGGCAACGAGCTGACGTATGCTAAAATTGTAACGAAAATGTCCTCATTCGATGAACAAACAAATGGCACCTACAAACATGTCTGGCATACACATGCAGGCACACCCGATGAGCTCGTCTACTTCCCTGCCTCCTCGTTTGGCATCGATGCGAATCGCACCTTCGAATATAGCGGCCTAATAGTATTCACTGACGGCTATGTGCCACGGCGTTATGACACTTGTAATCGCACACTCGGCTTTGGCGAGTGCCTATCCGGGCGTTGCTATCCGCTGAATAAGCAATGTGACGGATTATTTGACTGTGACGATGGCACCGATGAAATTGGCTGTCGCGTGCGCAACGATACGGAACTATTAAATTACCGCAAGTATCGTTTCAATCGCATTCTCCGACACTATGAAAATGTTTGGTTGTGGAAGGATGTGAATATCGGGCCGCATGGTCGCTACATTTTCAATGTTGAGGTACCAGATCGGCCGGCATACTGGATGGTGAGCGCATTCAGTGTTAGTCCATCGAAAGGTTTCGGTATGTTGAATAAGGCCATCGAGTATGTGGGCGTGCAGCCGTTCTTTATCAACGTTGAAATGCCCACACATTGTCGGCAGGGTGAACAAGTTGGCATACGTGTAACTGTCTTTAATTACATGACCACACCCATTGAGGCGACTGTGGTGTTGCATGGCAGTAAAGAATATAAGTTTGTACATGTTGAAGAAAATGGCATAGTGCGTTCCTATAATCCACGTACTTCCTTTGGCGAACATCAATTCTTTATTTATCTGGATGCGCAAGGCACTACAGTTGTCTATGTGCCGGTGGTGCCGCAGAAGCTGGGTGATATAGATGTTACGCTACATGTTGCCACTCTTCTGGGTACTGACACAATAACACGTCGTCTACACGTGGAATCGGATGGCTTGCCGCAATACCGCCATCAATCTATACTTCTCGATCTGTCGAATCGCGCTTATGTGCTGGAATATATGCATGTGAATATAACACAAACTCCGGAAATTCCATACCAAGTGGATCGTTACTTTGTCTATGGCTCAAATCGTGCGCGTATATCTGTTGTGGGTGATGTCGTGGGCCCAATCTTCCCTACAATGCCGGTGAATGCCACTTCGCTACTCTACTTGCCCATGGAATCAGCAGAACAGAATGCCTTCTCTTTCGCCGCGAACCTATACACCATTATGTATATGCGTTTGATCAACCAGCGTAATAAGACGACTGAGAAGCATGCTTTCTATCACATGAATATCGCCTACCAACGGCAGTTGAGTTTCATGCGTCCCGATGGTTCATTCTCCCTCTTCCGATCGGATTGGAACAACTCGGCATCTTCAGTTTGGCTGACTGCGTACTGCGTGCGTGTTTTCCAGGTGAGTGGATTTTATTTTTCATCTCGCGCAGTATCCGGGTAGAAGACGGAAGGCTGGTACAGATTTCATTTATATTTAGAATAAATGAAAAATATTTCGTTCTTAAAAAGATAAATTTACCTGCCGTCAAAGTGCTTATAAAGATTATATTTACAGTTATCTTAAGTTTGTATATTAAGAACCAAATAGGCTAAAGATCAATCTATATTTTCTTCTCACAGGAAGCTTCATTCTACGAGTGGGAGAATTTCATTTGGATTGACTCCACCATCATTGAAAAGAATATGCGCTGGCTCCTACAACATCAAACGCCGGAGGGAGCTTTCTACGAAGTTACTTGGCTGCCAGATCGCAAAATGAACCGCACAAACTTCGCCAATAACACAAGTCTACAAAACCGTAATATCACACTCACATCGCATGTGCTCATCACACTGGCGTCGGTTAAAGATCTTTCCGGTTCGCTAGGCGCACGCGTTGCACTCGCACAACAACGCGCCATATCGTGGATAGAGCGTAATATGCAATTCTTGGAAGACACCGAAGAACCATATGATGTAGCAATTACCGCATATGCCTTGCTACTCTGCAAATCACCAATGGCAGAGCATGTATTTTCCATACTGCGTCGACATGCACGCGTGCTAGGCGATTTTATGTACTGGGGCAGTAAGGAGGTGCCGCAACCGCCTAAGAAATTAGAAAATCAAAAATGGTTCTCCCTACCACGTCTGCCGTACGAATTTGATGCGTTGAATATCGAAACGACTGCCTATGCTTTATTGGTTTATGTATCGCGGCGTGAATTCATAGTGGATCCAATCGTTCGCTGGTTGAACGCACAACGTTTGAACGATGGCGGTTGGGCGTCTACACAAGATACCAGTGCGGCTTTGCGTGCGCTTGTTGAGTACACTGTGCATTCGCGTATACGTGAGGTGTCGTCGTTGACGGTCGAAGTGGAGGCTTCCTCACAGGGTGGCAAAATACAGGCGTTACACATTGATGATACGAACTTGGCGCAACTGCAGAGCATTGAGGTATGCGAGTGAAGTGTGTAAGAAAATAACACTTTTAATATACAATATTTATTCTTTTTACCTGCCAAATAGATACCCGAATCATGGGGCACAGTTAAAGTGCAAGCTAAAGGCGCCGGTTATGCCATTTTACAGATGCATGTGCAATACAACGTCGATATAGCGAAATTCCAAACGAAACCGCCAGTGCCTGCATTTGGCTTGCACACCAGAGCTATCTTCCACGGCAGAAATCAGTCGCATATCTCGTATATTGCTTGTCAAAAGTGAGAAGAGTGCTGTTACTCGTATACTATGTGCTTAAGAATATGCTAAAAACAACATTATTTTCTTTTTCCAGTTGGGTCAATACACGCGAATCGGAACGCTCCGGCATGGCTGTGCTCGATGTCGCCATACCCACTGGCTATTGGATACAACAACAGCGACTCGATCATTATGTACTAAGTAATCGTGTGCGTAATTTGCGGCGCGCTAAATACTCGCATCAGAAAGTTATATTCTACTTTGATTATGTAAGTTAGCTGGAGCTGATAGAGGAAACAAAATATTTTTTTATTAATTAAAAAGAATAGTTTGTTGTTCATTATATTAACATATTTATTATTTAACTAAATTAAAATATTATCTTACTACTTAAATTAAATATTTCTAAAATATTTATTTCGCACACAGCTCGATCAGGAGGATATTTGCGTTAACTTCACTATCGAGCGTTGGTTCCCAGTTGCGAATATGTCGCGTTATCTGCCCATACGCGTCTATGACTATTATGCGCCTGGTAAGCACCAGTTTTTTTTGTACAATATTTTTTATAACGATTATATTTCTGTAATACAATTTTTTCTTTGACTCTCTTTTAGAGCGCTTCAACGAGTCTATATTCGACGCTTTGCCAACGTATTTGCTGAACATCTGTGAGGTGTGCGGCAGTTCGCAGTGTCCATATTGTTCCATATACAATATGGGTTGGCGTGCGACCATGTCTGTGTCGCTGGTGTTCTTTAGCGTATTTATTTATCTAATGCGCAGCCGAATGCATGTCGTTTTAAATTGTCTGTATTTGCTCACCTAAAGTACACTCATTTACTTATAGTCACAAAAAAACATAGAAATTAAAAACATTTGTGCCTTTCCGCTTTTGAAATTACTTAGTTTAAAAGTGAATTTTCGAAAATTTCTTATAAATTTCCGTTCCATATTTTTTTTTTTGTTTTTTTTTTGTGTTCACAAATTACATACATATAAAAGTTATGAAATACATTATATTTAAGATAGAAAAGACAACAAGTATATTACATATCAGCGTTTATTGTACCACTAAATCATATTTATATACATATATGTATATGTAGATTGAAATGTTATCGAGTCCACGTAATATTAAAAAAAAGAAGAGAAATGCAACTTAATTGCCAGCGCAACGCTCAGCAAATGTATTCCGTCCAATACTGTGACGCCAACTCTTAATTTGCTACCTTTTTTATTCTAATTTTTTTTGTCATGAATAAGTCTCCCCTTTTGTTTTATGTTAGTGTTAGTGCATTTTTAAATACGAAATAATTTTAGTTGAAAGTCTTTACAAGTAAATTAATATGTATGAAAACGTGAATATTTTTATTTTAAGTAACAAAAACCGAAAATCTCATATGTACAAAGCTAAAAACAACAGCAGCTGATATTTAAGTATGTACGTACGTATACATATACATATCCCCATAGACATGTAACCGAATCTCAAAGACGAAAGCAATAATTTTTTTTTTAGAAAAGATGTCGCGCACGGAGTGTGTAAATAAAATTGAAGTCAATACAAATGTGTCTTAAAGTTGGCTACAGCCCTGCATCATAGTTAAGTAGTGCATAATTATTGAATTCAAAAGTGCATCTTATTATATGAAAGTTCGAAAATGAAAGATCAATGTTTTATAACTAAATACTTTTTTATATTGAAGTTGGTATTGTTGTTTAAGAAAAAGAAATGCAATAGCTGTTAGTGACACACATACATAGCTGTATAACCTCATATCGTATATAGCATACATATAAACATAATTAAACAGATGTTAAGTAGACAGTGTAAAAAATATATATGTAACTTATAAATAAACACATACATACAACCACATATATACAAAGAAATGTTGCAAACGAAAAGCTTTTATAAGACATTTTTTATAAACGAAAACTTGTATCCGTCCTTCTTTTGAAAAATCGAATGAATAAATAAAAAAAAACTAAACTATTTTCAGTTTATAAAGAAAATGTGGTTTTCATTGCATGTTCTTACGAAGCGTTATTGCTTGGAGCACCTCGATAATTTCCAAACGAAGCCATCATTATAAAGTTAGCTTTTTTTATTAGATGTGTAGTTTTAAAGGGACATCCAAGGAGGTGGTTTAGTGTTGGGTGGGGTCTCATTGCATGCAGGATGGGATATGTCGAAGTTCAGTCTGGATAAGTAGGAATTAAGATCTTGATTGCGTAATTAGACTTTTTTTAATCTAAAAATTAATTATCTGTAGGTTTGGCCGCATTTTGGGTGCATTCATGTTTATTCCAGGTTAATATTCATAACTAAACGTTCATGAAACGTAAAAAAAGTTTGCTTTACGTTAGCTTGATGGCTTGTAATAGCAAATATACGTATTTTTTCTTCTTGATAACTCAAATCAACAGTTAATGGCAAATATTTCTACCAAAAATTTCTGTACATCCTCACCGAGTGATTATTTTTCGCTCTTTGAGCAATTCGTGAGCCGATTGAAACACAATTTTATTACTAAAAGTAATAGTGTAATGTTATACATGAATATATATTTTATTTTTACTATATTAATCATTTTTAATACATACATACTGTAAAAGTAAGGTGAACATGGAATAGAATTTTTTTTAATATTACAGATAGGCAATATAATAGGGTAAATTAAATAGATGGTAATAAAAAAAACAAACAAATACAATTTTTAATTTAATTTGCTTAACATGTGTTCCAAGCAATCAATTCTACGGCTACACAATAGCGCCAGATTCTTCCACTGCATCATTATCCGTATTCACCACAGAAACGCTCAATGCTGCTGCTTCATCTTGGACATTACTCTCCGGTAGAAGCGGTGGCGCCGGCGAAGCAGCTGATGAGCCAGATTCAGGCATTTCGGGTAGATTTTCCATAGTTGCTACAGACGCAGAGGCGCCAGCTTCAAAAGAAACACGCTTTTCGAAACTTATGCGACGTGTTTGACCACTTGCTTCCTCATTTGAGGAGGTACTAATTTTACGTGTTGCGGCTGAAAAGTTAACAATTCCCTCCGTCGCTAATATACTAGCGCTCGATAGTAATATGGACACCTGTTCGGCTGTGGGACAACCGGTTATGGTCATATCGTCGTTATTGTAACCATTTGTGGTGAGTAGTTGTTCCAATTTGACAAATGCTTGAATAATATTATTCTGCAGTAAGAAAGAGTATATCAAATGGATTTATAATAAAAGTTGCGTAACATAATTTTTTAATTTTTTTTTTTCATTTTATTGTGAACAACTCACTCGTATTGGCCGAAAAATTATAAACTCTGTATCACGATTACTCAAATATAGTTGCATGGAGCGTTGCAGTGTCGATAATTTATTCTTTATTAATCGCTGCGATTCTTGTATGATACTGCTAATTTGTTGTGGACTAGCCCAGGCGCTTTGGCGCAGCGCGTAGTTTATTTTTGGTGTCAATGCTTCTTTTTCATTTGCTGCCGCCTTGTTATCCTTGTTTTGAAGGAGCGCTTGTGCTTTATCTAGAAACTTTAAAATCGGCGATACCAGCATTTGTACAGCATCTTTTATGAATTGCTCGCAAACCATTTTCAATTGGCGGTCGACTTCTTTACGCGAGTCCAAAAGATGTTCTTTTATTTGAGGCGTGCCCTCGAGCAGAAACTCGAGTAGTGCATTATTGCTGCCCATTGAAAAGAGCTGTTTACGCTTTTGCAGTAACCCAAATGCAGCTGTTTTTACTTTGCTAAAATCCAACGAGGTCTCTTTGATGGTAAAATCAACGCGGAAGGGTGCTATTTGTTCGCGTAGAATAAGCAAGTGTTTGATTTCGAAGAGTTCGCCATCAATGGGAGTCTGTTTGTTGAGTGAAAATTAATATATTTAAATAGTATATTTTAATAGTAGACAAATTGTAACATACTTTTGCTGTTGAAATCTTCCCAGCTGCTGCAGAGACACTTTGTATGCAAAGTTTGAGTGCCTCTTGGGAGAGCCCCTGAAATATAGGGCGATCTACGCAACGGTAAAGGCGTGAAAGGCAAACAAGCGTACGCCGCACGGTTGGATACCACATACCATGCAGATCCGCAGGTGAGGAGTCTAATGGAAAATAAGTTTGAAATAATTTTTCAATTCTTAAGCACATGATTTATTTCCATTTACTTATATTGCGTGGCCGACTTGTGGTGTCTACACTTTCTGTTTCCATTGCGCTTGAAATACTCGAGTTCAGTGATGAACGTGAGTCATAACGACGTATATGCTGTGACTCTTGCAGCGACAGAGCGATGCTCTGAACAATAAAAGAGAAAAAAAAAATGTTTAAATAATTAGTGATAATAATCTCTTTTTTTACCTCCATCATCTCCAGTTTATCCGGATAGGCGAGATCACCAGCTGATGGATTATAATTCAAAATGTCTGATTGCAAGTAAAGATGTGCACGAAATACAAGACGCTCTTGAACGTCCTGTAAAAGTTGATTTGCTGTATTCGCAAAAGCTTCGAGTGCGCCCGCTTCAAAGTAAAAAAAAAGCAATTTATAATACAAATTTGAATATGATTGTTTTCAAGCGAAAAAAAAACCTACGATTTTGCTGCACATGCTCTTCCAACATTTCTATGCGTAAAATCGAACATATTTCCGCCAAAGTTTCCAAGTGGTTAATATGTATGATAAAGGGACGCATAGTATCATATAATATTGTGCAGAGACCCTCGAGATACGTGCTAAAAAATTTAAATCTTACGAGTGTTTAAAATATTAGAGTTATTAAATATTTTCCTTACGTCAATTGCTCACTTCCCAGAGCAAAAAATTGAAAGAATAGTCTTTGTTCATCCTGACAAACATGCACAAGGAATGCACAAGCGCTACGCGTTAGCGCGCAATGATCCCCCTTGTGTGCCGCTTTCAACTCCAGTATAGCTTTAGTAACCGCTGGCGACATAATAATCGCTCTTTCATTCAAATAATTTTGATGCATTTCACTTAGTAGTTGCTCATACTCGACGCTACGTTCCAACCGCGACTCTACCAATTGTGCAACGCGTTTAATTTTAACAGCAGCTGTTTGATATTTGCCATAATATAATGCGAATGCAGCATCGGGCGAGCTACTTGTTGTAACGTTGTTGGTTTTCTTTTCAACATCCTCGCCGGTAGAGTTCGAGCTTTGTTGTATTGAAGAATGTGTCTGTTTTGGATGTAATGTAGCACTCGTGGCCTGTGACATTACAGCGGTTGTGTAATTTTTAATTAGGGTCACAGCTTTGGCTAGACAGTGTTTGTATTTAACGGTGTAAGCGGCAGCATCTTTGAACTTGGGCTGAAAATGAAATAAGACAGTTAGTTATCGGAAAAACTCTTTCTTTAAACATTACATTCGCTCTCATATATTCAAGGCACTCATCGATGCGATCCAAACAATCACGAAATGCCTCGCTCGCTACTGATAGCGTGGGGCTCTGCAGCCGCTGATGGAGCAGTTCTACCTGACTGAAGTAGTGTAAACGTCGATGTATTTCTTCGCCGAGCTTTTGCAAGCGTTGCTGTTCCTCCGTTAACTGCTCGCTGGCAGTATTTAATGCACTAGTTTTTTGTGATACGGTTTCATATTCACTTTTCAAGGACGCCAACTGATGCAGCGCAGAGTTTATCTGTTCTAAAATTTCTTCACACTCCGCATCACGTTGCTCCAATTGTTGCAAGTATTGATAGTACTGTACGTCAGAATGTTTGGTTATTTCTTCGTTGACACGTTCGTACCATAACAGGAAATCTTTTGTGTTATTGATTCCAGGTGATGGCATTGCTTGCAATTCTTGTGCGCTTGCACTAAGCGCTTGAGCCGCTGATTTATCATCTTTTTTATCTGTCCCTGCTTCCACGGTGCCACCGTCTATTGCTGCGCCCGACACCTAAGTGAAAAATGTTCATAATTTTCGTTCAATGGATGTGGGTGGGGTGATAATTACCTCTGTGTTGCTTCGACACTGGTTATTTACCACATCCAGGCATTCCAATTGCAGTGCATTTAGCGGAGCAAGCGGATCGCTATTCGACTCCCATTGGAGTAATCTTTGGCGTACTTTTCGCAAATTTTCATTTTCACTCTGGACCACGGCAACGTCATCCATTTCATCCGAATCAGAATTGTTGGCAAAATCTGCTTATGTTATTTTCTTACTTGCTTTTCTGTTTTTTCGTGCACCTGAGCAAATGACAAATGTCAATTGATTAGGTATGTGAAGTACTGAAATCGATTTTATTTATCGCTTTTTATCTTGAACGAATCAACTGGAATCACGTTCATTCGGCTTTTGATTGTTAATGACAGGTTGAACTAACGACTAACTAGGAGAATTTATAAAAAAATTGTGAATTTCTAAAGTGATAAATGCTTTAATAACTTAATAGGATAAATTTCGTACATGACATACCACCCCAGAATTAGCAATTAATTTCAATTTGACGTGCGAAGAGTTTATGAAAAACGGCCGCACGGCAAAAAGCGAAGAAAGCTGCAACACTGTTTCCATTTGTTTATGTTGTTTTGTGAAGTCATTTGTTAGATGATGGAAAATACATTTATTAATTAGAAAATTGCTTTAATTCATTTATAAATTTAAATGGCTCCTCAGCCGGTTGTAACAGGTCTCTCACCGAAAGAAGGTCCACCAGGTACCCGTGTAATCATACGTGGTGAGTTCTTGGGCACTAGGGCCACCGATCTCATTGGTAAGTTATACTACGTTATCAACGTCACCCACATATGTTAACGCCCAATTTTGTAGGCCTGAAAATTTGTGGCTCCGATTGTTTACTGTCGGCGGAATGGAAGTCACCCAACAAAATAATTGCACGAACAGGTCCTGCGAAGGGTAAAGGCGATATTATTGTGACAACTATTAGTGGTGGTGAGGGCACATCAACAGTACAATTTCGTGCGTATCACGAAACTATTGGCCCTTTAAAAGAGTCAGCCGTGTGGATAGAAGAATCGCCATCGCAAAATTTTGCTTGGGGCCGTCGTACATTGGCGCAATCAGTACTGACACAAGAAGATCCACTTGGTTTGTCTATTGAGGGAAATGAACAGAAAATACCAGAAGACTTGAGAGACTTATTTCCGGATGCTAGTGGGGATTTATCGCAAGAGAATTTTTCACCTTCATGGTTTTTGCTTGAAAACCATTCGGCCACATCTTTTGAAGACTTGAAAGCTGGTTTAGCATATTTAAAACGGAAAGTAGAAAGTCAAAAGGAAGGCCAGTTGTCGTTCTTAAAATCGAACGCTGGATCAGTTATTGATCAATTGGATACATTGATGAATATAAAAGATAAATTGCAAGAAGATACGCGTATCTTTGGTACAGAGCCATTGAATGTGTTGGAGAGCTCAATAGAGAGTGAGTAGTGTAATTTTTTATTAACTTTAATCAAGGTTACTACTTTGAAATTCTCTAGGTTCCATCTCCGAATCACAAAATATTTTCACGGAAGTGTTGCTAAGAAAGGAAAAGGCAGATTCAACTAGAGCTGTACTCTTTGCTCTCTCTCGTCATAAATTTCTATTTTGTTTACCAAACTCGGTAGAACGTCGAGCACAGGCTGGCGAATATGACATTGTTGTAAATGACTATGCACGTGCTAAAAATCTGTTTGGGAAAACAGAAATTCCTGTAAGATTGTGGAAAAATGTTTAAAAGCAAATTTTAATCGTTAAATTAAATTATTTTTGTTACTTTCAGATGTTCCGCCGCGTACTGGAGGAAGTGGATCAGCGCATTTTACAAATAAGAAAGCAGTTACATGAAAAAGTTGTGAAAATGCCACAAAGTGTGGAACAACAAAAGAAACTTATAAAAGCGCTAACTAGTCTTGAGGTATATTTCTTCAAAAGAGATTTTAATCTCACAACCGGCTCTGCTGGTTATTCACATTTAAAGAAATCATCCTTTAAATCCTTTTGATCTAGGTACAACAAAGTGGCACCAGCATTGGTGATCGTATGCGTAATGTCGATCCTGCATGGGATGCCATAGAGGCGCGTGCTAAGTATTTGGAACACACCTTTAAACAAACATTTGAACAATACGCTTCTAAGGAGAGTGGCGCACAAGAAAGTATTATTACTAATTTAATAATATGTACAAAAATTGATTAAGATATTTTCTATTTAGAAACAAAAAATCGGGAGAACTCAAATCAGCCGCATAGTCGTGTGCTATTTTGTGAGGAAATTTGCGACATAGCCGCATCGCAGCTGCCGGATTTGTGGCGTTTAGGCCAATTATATTTTACCGGTGAGCTACGAGGTGCACATGATCCCAAACCTGGCGATTTTAAGGTACTACCGATTTCTTCCATAGAAATAAAATCAATATCGTTTTAATAATGATTATTAACAGCGCATGGTTTTGAATGCAATTGAGAAATTCTGCGCATACTTGCGTGTTGCAGTACTTATCGCTTCGGATTTGCGTGCATTGCGTCAAACAACTGGACTCTCCTGGCCCATCGGCTCGTCATCGGCCACTCATCAGTTTCTCCCCTGGATATCCCAATGCCTACGATATACGCGCATCACATACGCGACTCTAATACGACTGGATTTGCCTTCAGAGGCATTGGACATAATACAGAAATTAATCGATGAAATACGCATATTCTGCTTTTCAATAACATTCAAACGCGCCACAGATCGCTGCAAGAAATTAGGCGATCTAGAAACTTGGGACATGGATGTAGAAGACTTTCCAGGCGCCACAATGTTGCCGAACTGTTTGGAAAAATTGCTAGTGGAGACGTTAGATGAGGCGCAGAATGCCTGTATGAATCCAGAAATTAGGTAATTATAATTTTGCATATTTTTACGGTCGGTCTTCAATGAATGTTTTTTTTTTAGGGAAGGAAATTTGCTGGAACCCCAATCCGATGGCCAGCGTGAGGTGTCACAACGCCTACAAGAATTCTTATCAACATTTTGTGGTGTTATTGAAGAATTGGCCTACCAGTCACACGACGAGGAGACACCCACTCACAATGTTTCACAACTAATTGGCTATCCAAATGTACAACAAAACGCCCTACAGTCCGGGCGATTTTGGAATTCCAGCGTTATTACTTGGGAGCAACGCATGCTTTGTTGTCTTGCTAATTGCGCATATTGCAACAAAAGCTTTTTTCCACATGTGGGAGATGTATTTGTAAAGTAAGTAATGGAAGTTTTGAATATATTTTAATTTTATTTTGTTAATTTCTTACATTTTCTATCAGATATGGTTATCCGCTACCCACGCTAGCAATTGAAACTTCACGCTATTCCGTTAATCAATTATTTACAAATCTCTTAGACGCCTATGTTGAACATAAAGTGGATCCGCTAGTTGGTACTATAGAGCCGTCAATGTATTTGGGTCGCTTTCAATGGGATCACGAAATGGAAATCGGCAAGTTGCGTCCATACGCACACGAATGTTGTGATAATTTAGTAGGCGTTTACTCTGAGATATATACTATATCACCGGCACTGCTACGTCCAATCCTCGAACCGATTGTCTTGACCGTTTCTGAGGAGTTGGCACGTTTGATGAGTTGTGTGCAAGAATTTAGCTACACTGGCGCTATACAAGCTAATGTGGATATACGTTTGATAAGGGACGCTTTAAAATTCTATACCAACGAAACTGGGAAGTGAGTTGCGCTGCGTTTATTTGCTTTTTAGATACAATATTCAAATTCATTTTAATTTCTTTTATTTTCAGAAATTATTTTCTTGAAGCTTTGGAGGCTATAAAACCACCGCTAAATGCGGAACAGTTGAAGAAGAGTGATGAAATATTGGAGCGAGTGAAAACTTGCATGAAACTACAGTTAATGTGCTTTGCTGTAAAAGAACCATAAATGTATTTCACATAAAATAATGTTTAATGCCTATAAAAAAAAATATATTATTTAACGTTAAAATTATGCGAATATTTATTCCGATATGACTCAAACATATAAAATAATATGCTTAATATATTAACATATACATATATACATATACAGCAATGAAGTATTTATTCGCAATTTAAGAATCAAAAGAGATTTTTCTTAATGTTCCTAGTGAAAAGTGTTATTACATTTAAATTGATTAGGTTACCAATTACAGCTTAAAATCAAACGAGAATGCATCTACACCCATAGTTTGGAACTTCTCAAAGTTCTCCTTGATCGCCTTCTCGACATCAATCGAATCGAATTTCTCCTGTATACGCATTTTAATTGGATTCTCCAATACGTCCATAATTTGATAGCGCAGTAAATTAGGGACAATGTTAACCACTGCTTCCATGATATAATCCAACGTACCAGCACCGTCGCTACGCACTTGTATATTACCCAAATCGATTTGTAGATCATTGATTTTCGGTCGCTGTCGTGTATCCAGAGCTTGGCTCACATCCACGGTGACACGAATGTGTTGAACGGAAAACTTAAAAGTACCCGTACGCGAAGCCAAGGCAAAGTCAACTTCCCAATGACACTCGCCGGCGATTTCCTGAGTACCAACGTGGAAATGTAATTTAATTGTATTATTCTGCATCGACACCGCCATATCGCCGACACGATAGAAACTCGCCACACCCCAAATCCATGAGTTCACCAACTGGAAGGTGAATATACCGGCGGTGCGATTATAATCGGGTAAATGAAATGGGTCGTAACCCATCTCACGCACCTTTCTGCGGCCCTCCGCAATGGCCATATCGAGTGGTGCAATTGAATTGGGTAGTAGACGATCGCCTAAGAATTTTTCCAAATTACCATTTATCTCTGCGCGTAATTTTGTATCGGCCTCTTTCAACATAAACGGCTTCATCGCATCGAAGACCAGTGTGGGTGCTGAATTGACAATGCCTTGGAATATATTACCAACCAAGCCTAAGTTCTGAAAATCCATGGACATATCACCGAAAGTAATATCCATTTTAATTTGGTCCGTTGTTAAGTGACCATCTGTTTCTACTGCGAGTGCGGCATTGGCTTTCACGTATACATTTCTGAGCACGACTGTGAACGGACCATTAGCGCGGGTGAAGAGTGCGCTCAGCGTGTACATGCCCTTGACGTTCATCTCGTCCAATTGGATACCGGCTTCGACCTGAGAAAATAAAAATTAAAATCTAAATAAAATCATCCTTTGGGGATATTTTCAAAAGTTTCGTTTTCCATGTGGCAAGAACAAGAATTAGGGAAGGGTTAGCTATGTATCTGTGTTCCTATTTGGACTAATGATTGTGACGAATGAAGAGATTTACAGCCGAGCTTCTCTTCCAACTTGTGGTGTGCGTCTTGATGTTTTTTTCCAACAAGGGTCGGATGGAAGCATGTCGGACGATTGGAGCCTTAGTTTGCTCTACTCCATTCCCAAAAACGAGGGCCTACAGCCTGCATCAATTAAGTAAAACCTGAAACGCCCTCAGGATCGGTATGAACTTCTCGAAGCAGTTCTATACTAAACGAGGTTTCAGACAAGGTGACTTCTTATCGTGTGTTCGAGAAAAGAATACTAGCTGTAGAGCAGAATATAGAAGGTACAACCTTCTATTACAGTGTACGGAAGCTGCCATACGCCGATGATATTAATATCATAAGCCTCAACAGCCGTTGAGCCGCGTCATGAGTTCTGCTTTGTTCAGGCTGGAGAAGGAAGTGAAGCAAATGGCTTTCTCTTACCACGAACAAATACCGAACGCCACAAGTCGTAAATCACTACCGTCTTGCTATATGGTATGGAGGCAACGACGATGACAACAACTGATAAATCGACGTAAGGAATTTCAGTAAGACTTGTGTCCTCTGCTCTCTTGGGAACGGCAAATACCGCAGTCGGTGACGTAGTTCAACGAATCAAGAGACAAGGGCTAAGCTGGTTAAGTCGTGTGGTCCGTATGAATAAGAATACTCCAGCTGTGGAAATTTTCCATACAATACCGGCCGGTCGAATCAGAAGAAGAATTAGACCTCCACTCTGTTGGAAAGATCAGGTGCATAGGGCATGGCTGTAGTTAAAAATCTAAGATAGTTAAAAGTCTTGACGAAAACTGGCTGAGAGAATGGGGGGAAATAGAAGTACGTGTCGTATAAATCCACAGCTTATATTCGCAATATTGCAGACAAACCTGAGAGACTTGTTCAATATTGAAAACCTTCTAGTACAAGTGTAAAAGTGTTTGAATACTCATTGTGCCAATGCCAGAACTACTCGAAAACTTTTGAATAATATCAGCTCTGGTACGCACAACAACATTAACGAATTTCAAAATTCGATTTAAGATGCAGTTACGCCAAGTTCAAAATAGAATAATGACACTCACTGCTCTCTATACACGTTATCAAAATATTTCTATATGCCATATAATTATCTCGCTCTCAAAACGAACGTATTTCAAATGCGTATAATTCTTATCATCCAAAGTGATCTCGTCAGCCGTAATGCATAAGCTGCGTGTAAAAAAAGAACTAAAGCTTCACATAACTCACGCTAATCTCTTACTCCTTGTCACTAATCTACTCCATCAAACAAACTCACCTTCATCTCCTTTAAATCCGCCTTGATCGAATCGATACGAAACTTTGACAGCCCATAAGCCTTCACCTTCATCATACTCAGCGTACCCATGCCGACACTCTTTCGCATATCTGGCACCTCCATTGGATCTGGTATGGGTGCGCCCGGAAAACCAACAGGATCTTCTTGTTTGAAATGGTCCAGTACGGCGAAGAGCTGGGCAGCTAAACGATTCTCAGTTACGCGCACATTATGTGCGTCTTTAACGTCACTAGGGGCCATCAACTCAGCTCTGGTTTCTTCTACAGGAAAAGGGGAGAAAAAGGAATATTTAACATGAAATTAAAGTAAGTATAAAGGTAACTCACCATCTTCCGCCACTTGCGTGAACGCTTTGCTAAAATCCCAGCAAATTAATAACGCCAGAGATAAGGCGATCCATGTGTGCCTTTTAGACATATTTATTTGTTATGAATTGAAAACGACGATTTATCAGTGAAATTCAAGAGCCTCTACGTAAATGTGCATACTCATTAATACTTGGAACACTTCAAGTAAAGCGTGCCCACATGTGCACGAAGCGCTGAACACCAGACAACTGGCGATAAGAAGTGATAGTTTAGCAGCATCGCTGTAGCTAAGGAAACGTCTTGAGCTGTGCTCGAGAGGCAGCGCTTAAAGAGAGTGTTAGCAATTCATTTGAACTGCGTGAGATAAGCGAAGAGCATACAGTACAATCGTACAATCGGTATATGTGGGTGGTGGCAATACAAAAAAAGAAATTTCAAATGCTTTATAATTTATTGAATTGTAAGAGAAAACAAAATGAAATTATTTTAATTTTTTGTTTTAAATAATTTATTACATTTATTATTACCCAATTCGATTTAGATTCATTTTAAAACTTAATTATTCCAATTTAAAAAGTATACAATCAATTGTAACATACTACATACATACTACTACACACTAATTAATATATTTTATATGCATATATAATAATTTATATCTATTTTTTGTATATAGTAATATTTTTAATTATGTTAAAACATACATATGTGTGTGTGCTAAATTATTTTAGTTTTATTTTATTTTATTTATTTTTATTTTGTTTTTTTATTTGCCATACACAAATACATACACATTAAATTAATTAGAACATTTTAAAAATGCTACGAGGTTCTTTTTCAAAAACATTTTAAAACTATCTTTGCAAACTATTTGATAAACATACATATATGTACATATGTACATGCATATGTATGTGCTATATATTGGAAAAAAATAATGCACTTAAAATAAAACAAATTAGTTTTATTATAAAACACAATTGGTTTTAATATCTTTTATGTGCTTGCTCTTCTTCATCTACACATTTTTTACTACCACTAAACTTACAACTAATTTTGTATGCAATTTGTAATAAAAAAATTCAAATTATTTTACATTTTGTTCGATTTCACTTATAACTAAATCAATATAAAATATGTTTACATAACATTCTTATGTATGTATGTAATATAAAATATATTGCAACTAGCCTATTTGCTTGTATTATTTCCTTAATTATTCTTTTTTTTTTTAAATTTTATTTTACAAGCATAAAGCAATGCCTAAAACTAGGCAAAAAAAAAAAATATATATATATATATATATATACGAGCAAGTATGCGTACAGACATATAGCTGTGGGAGTGTATAGAGGGGATGTAGCCCAGGAAAAGGTGTAGTTATAATACAAAGTAAAACATTTTTTATATTCGATAGTAAAGTATCTTAACACACTAGTTTAAATAAAATTATAACAGTTCTTTAAGCTAAAATTAATATAAAATAGTAGGATGTTTGGCAAAATTGTGAGCTGGAACAAATATATGTATGTGGTGGATGTCTGAAGAGTATTTTGTCGGCAAAAATAATATGAAATATATAAAAGTCGGTGTTAATGTTGTTGCTGTTGTTGTAGTTATATACATTTTTAAACTATTTTTGTTTTTTAATTATTTCAAAAATTGTAGTTTACAGCTGGCGCAACGTACTAAGATTTACCCATACCTGCACTTTAACGGCGCTGCATTCGTTGATTCTGAAATTGTAATCATGAAACCCTTTATAACAAACACGCATTGCAGTGAATGCTTTAAGACCGCTTCTAAGCTCCTGCGAAGCTACATAAAATATTTTGTAAGCATATGACATAGTTAGGTAACGCAAATCAATTTGATAGCTCGATTTTTTAGTTTCTCATGAGAAGTACATAACTAAGAGGATTAATATATTTATTTTGTACTAAACATCTAAGCCGTGTTGATAATGTAGTGCATACGCGTTTGGAATTTTTCGTATGATTTTAAATTAATTTGATACCAGACACGGGAGCCACAAGTTAAAAAAAAATAATAAAGGAAAAACTTAAAAAAAAAAAAATAAATGCCGTCTGTTGCGGAAAAGCTGCTTGGTTTTTGAATGATTTTTTTATTGGTTTTCATAAAACCTTTTTTTTGAATAGTTTTCACATTTTGATTACTCTAAGCTTTTATTAGTGTTTAAGTATTACGGAAAGTTTTCAATACGCCAAACATGTCCGCTGTGATAAAAATAATTGTGCTATTGAAATATCGGCAGGGTATGTCAACCCCTTCGAGTGTATTTCTGACATGAAATAAAGCTTCTCATAAAAAACCATCAGCCGTTCGGAGGTGGCTTAGTATAAACTGTAGGTCCCTGCATTTGTTGGAAAAACATCAAGACGCAAAGCCACAAATTGGAGGAAAAGCTCGGCCGAAAATAGCTTAGGCGCTTACAAAGCGCCAATTATATATATATGTATATACTCTTTATATAAATCACTGTTGCTATATGAAAAGGCGCTAATTGACAACCGTTAACCGTTTGAACTAAAAATATACAAAATTTTTGCTTCTATTGCACTTACATAGCTTGCTGACTGAAATATTCCTTGTGTAAATTAAGCGATTTTTTTCATTTGCTTTTTACGCTAGAATAATATGAGATTTTTAAATCCATTTCTTTGGCTATAGTTTCTTCATAAAAGTTTTTTTTTTTAAACTACTTGCAATAAAAGTGACAGTTAGCGCATTTTTACATTTCAACAGCAAAATTTTCAAATATACACATATTAATTTTCAATTAAATCACATGGCGGTAATTTTCACTACTAAACTAATTAACATTTTTCTCTATTGAAAATCTACCGTACACTTGAAGACAACCGTCGCTTCTTAACAGCTGTCTTCTTTTGATAATATCTCTCCAATTTACATGTCTACTTCCATAATTTCCCCCTTAAACTACATATCACTCGCTTCGATTACCTCCACCAAAGCGGGTGTTAGGTGTGCACTCGCACCGCCGATGTTCATATTCATACCCAAACTCATGCGACTGGTGCTGCCACTTGTGCTGCCCGTACTGCCGCTACTCAGCGACGGCACTGATGTGATGCGTGTTGTTGTTGGCGCGCTACTTGTTAGGCCACTATGGCTATATATTGTCGATAGCATATTGGAGTTGATGTTGGTGTTGTTGTGTGTGTTGCCAACAACGCTATTTCCAACTGACGTTGAAGTTACAGCGCCGGTGGTGATATTCAAATATTCCGATTCAGAGGCATCGGAGTACATTTCCGTTTTGAAAGTGTTGGATGATGAGGACATAATAATGGGTGACAAGGTTATGGTGGTCGCGTTGGCTTGTGTTGTGAAAATTGGTGTAAGATTTTGTGCGTGGTGCATGTTGCTATTATTACTAACGGCTGTTGGACGCATTGTGATTATATTTGATTTTATTTGTTGGTTATGTGCATGATTGTTGTGTTGTTGCGCTTGTTGTGCTTGTTGCTGTTGATGATGATGGTGTTGTTGCAATTGCATGGATATTGTGTTTGCGGCTGCATTTTTATTTACTGCCGCAGTTGTTGTATTATTAATGGATGTCGCGATTATGTTAGAGGAGACCAGCCGCTGCGCATGTAATTGTTGTTGATTATGCTTTTGTTGTTGTTGCTGTTGTTGCAGACGTTGCTGCTGTTGGTGTAGGAGTACACTTTGTGGTGTGACCTTTGTTGTTACAGTTGTGGGCGATGTTAGCGTGTTGCTGACGCCTGCGTTTGACAAAATGTTGACTGTTGTCATATTGTTCAGCAGAGTGTTGCTATGGTTGCTGTTGTTGTTATTGTTGTTGTTGCTGCTGCTAGCAGTTGATGAAGTTACCTGCAGCTGAGGAATACTATGGATGCGCTGTATACTGGAGCTATTATGTTGATGTTGGCCCTGACCCGTCGTTAGAACATTCACAACTAAGAGAGCGTTGGGTAAAAGAAGTGGATAATTTATTGTTAATTTATTTTCGAAAATGCCATGGCTTTTTAAATATTTTATGTCTTAAGCTCACCTTGATATTTACCCTCGGCATTTTGTATGATCACCGATTCCATTGGCAAAATATTCGCTTGCTGCTGATTACCGTTAATTGTGGTGACAGTTTGTGTTTGCTGTTGTTGCGATTGCTGTGACGATATAGGATGCAAACTAATGAATGGTATCAGTGTGGCGCCTTTGGAAGAGGGTGACGAGGAGCTAGGCGCTAAATGCAGTTGTGAAGACACAGTTGCCAACGATGACGATGGCAGTACTGTGGTGGTTGTGACCTGCTGTTCGGATGCTATTGTTGTTGACTGCTGATGCGCTGAAATCTGTAAAGGAGAGGTTGCTGTTGCCGTCGAAGTGGTATGCGCACGTGACGTCATGATGTTGCTCACATGCATGTCACTCGGACTTAAGCTTGGAGTCTCGTCAGCTACCTGTATCTCATAACAAGCAAGTTCGGGTATGACTGGCCGCACTTTACCGCCATCCGGCCGATGGGGATTTCTGCAGCCACGACATTTGCAGCCGATGCAAGACTTGGAATCTACATAGCAGGGACACCGTTGACCACAACAAGTCAGCTTGCCAGGCGTAGGTGTCGCATTGCCGCAACGACAACCGCGACGTTTTGCATTCAACTTATTTGCGGGTGTCTGTGGTTGCTGCTGTTGTTGGCCTTGGGATGTACCCACCACCGAATTGCTGGTAGCCACAGGCGTGGAAGTAGCCGTTGGTGCATTCGATATTGAGGTAGCAATACTTTTCTGAAAGTATCAACGTTTTATGAGAAAGTTAATTAAGCAATACATTAGGCAATTTTATGTGACTTCTTACCCTCTGTCCATTTTCTTCGTCACCATCTGTCTTCCGTTTAATTGTTATCTTATTTCCTACGCCGGTATACAACACGGAATACATTGCCGAACCATTGGACACGGTTTTTATGGAAGGCGGGTTACGTATTTGTTGTGAAGTGACTGTGGCAGTGGTTGTTGTTGTTGCTGTCGTGGCGCTTACTATCGAGTTTGTGCTTGCGGCTGTAACAGCTGTAGCCGAAGCGATAATTGCGGAGCTTGCAGGTGTTGACGTCGCAGAAACTTTGAATGTCAGCGGCGCATGCGCATCTGCGTTCATCAAACCAGCCGCTTTTACAGCGGAAGCTAAACTAATTGGTGCGCCGCCGCGTGCTTGCGCTTGTGCAAGTTGACGTTTTAGGGATTGAAGTTTGGCCGATGCTATCGTCAAGGGTGCAGTGGTTGTGGCGGATGAGGAGACCATCGGCACTACAATACCAGGCGTGTTTGGGCCAACATATGTGATTGTTGGTGATGCTGATAATACAGCCATACTGCTATGGCTCGTGACCGCAGTTGATTGAGAAGTTCCCAAATGCTGCGTTGGTATATTGTTAGATTCACTAGTGCCAGATTTTATACTTTTCACATATAACATATGCGTTTGAGCCTGGGTCTGATGTTGTAGCGGTTGTGTGGCGTTAGATTTCGCTGTCATAATTATGTGTGCATTATTATTCATAGTTGCGATATGAGTGTTTGATTGCTCCCGCTTGACAAACGTGTTTTGATTAGTTAAGGCTGGGGAATTACTCGTGGACGCAGCAGGTGGGTTGGGAGGCGTGGTTAAGCGCGGCGCAGGTTGGTTCTGCACCCTTTTCTGAGGCACTGTTAATGGCGCTAACGGTGTTACAACATTAACGGATTGGGGAGTTGATTGGTTTGCAATGCTGGTTGTTACTACAGCTGGCATTGTTAGAAGTGTATTTGGTAACTTGATGGTTTGTGGTAAGTCAGCATTGAAAGCGTTTAATATATCATCGTATCTTGCACCCTCTTGTATGATGTCGCCACAAGTTGTCATGTGTGGCATTGGCGCCACACCAAACACATTCTCGCCGCTACATGTCAATGCTTGGTGTGCTTTCTGGCGACTTAGCTGATTATAACAGTTTGAAGCCAATAGGTGTTCGCAAAGGCTTTTGTAGCAAAGCAGCAGGCAACGCATTGTTTTATTTTCAGCATACGTCTTGAAGTCTTGCAGATCCTTACAACTAATACACAATGGCCGTAATGCCTTCCGACCACGTACACAGAGTCGACATACGTTGTGATGGCAGCGCGCATTGTTGAGTGGCGCATAAGGATCATTTAAGAGGCGAGCACACACAGCACAGGAAAGTAGCTGCCTTAGTTGGCCAAACAAACGACTGATGTCAAGCATACGCTGCTCACCAAGCCCACTGCTTTCCGTCGTATCGACTTGAAGCACTAGTTGCGCTGTCGAAACATATACACAAACAGCGTTCATTGCGTCAAGACGCTTCTCATCGCCAACGCCGCCGCTTCCACCGCTCACACTACTACTGACTACAGAAAACATCAACAAAAACAGTTGATAAAAAAAAGATTGTTTATTCAACAACTAGGCTGATGCAAATTAATTGACGGTGACACTTTACAATTCAATATGCCATATTCACAACAAACTGTTTGTATATGTATATTTATTATTTTCTTCGTATCGTTTGTTGTTATTGGTTTTTGTTGAGTATGTTGCAAAATCGATGCAATAACTACCGGCGGTCAGTGGATTAATTATTGTGGCGTATAAATCTTTTGAAACACTTTATAATTGCACAAACTTATTTAATAAAGGCACCTAGGACATTGACGTCTGCAAACATCCATATGTCTGTGGACAAGACCACTTTTCTCACTAATAGTGCAAAAAAAATAAATGACACCAAATGTAAGTCGATAGCCTCTGGCTACTAATTACTATTTAAGTGACACGCGCCCAACAAATAAACACAACTAAAACTTAGTAGATGTTTGCAAAAAATATATAAGTTTACACTACACATACGCACCCCTAGTAAAAGATAACTTTTACTATGATTGGTTTGAAAAAATCGCAATGCAAAATAAAAATTGCGCTGAAAAATGCTGAAAATTCTGATAAAGCAGTAGCAAAACTTGCCGATTGTTTTTTGGCATTTCGTTTCATGTATGACATTCGCTTTATTGACATTTTCCTTTACTCTTTCATTTGGAGTACAGTACGAACAGAAATTTACATTGCATTAAAAGCCGCCAACTTCAAGATTGCAGTGTAAAAGCGGAAGAGGAAACGGGCGCTTGTGTAGATTTTTATTTTATTTGTTAAAAATTAATTGCCTAGAAGTAAAGCGTGCTTTTATGCGTTAAATTTCGAAATTGAGGGAGCATATGAATTTTATTATTGTTCCTTAGAAGTGAGTATTAACTACTTGGAAGAAAATTCTTTGAGGACGACGGTAAAGTCCCGGTTGAAAGTTTTGGTCGTCCGCGGTGTACATTTCAAGGTCGTTAAGGTAGCGAGTTATTCATTGCTTACTTTGTACAAGGAAAAAAGCAGCGGTGATTTGGTGTATGCAGTACTAACTTTTAACGTCTGTGAAAAAAACAATGGTAACAAAAAACAAAAAAAAAAAAAAAAACAGAAAAAAATATGTAGAAAACTTTTTTTAGTTAGAATTTAATTAATTTATGTTGGAAAAATTCACGGGCGGCAATGCACACGGAAGATCATGATTCGATTTTTTTTGATTGCGGTCGCACCTCGGCAGGGAATGTTAGTGCGTCCGTGTGTATTGGCCATAGGAAGCAAAACGCACACCACAAATTGGAAGATTGGAGATTGGCCATAAATCGCTTCAGCGGTTATAAGAGCCAATTATATATTACATACATATGCATATATATAAATATATATATATAATATATACGTGCATAAATGCACCTTGAAATATTGGCATATGCAAATTAATTGTCATTCAATAGAGGTTACATTTTCCTCTAATTTTATGTAAAAATTCTGATATCTAAACAGAGTTCTTATTGCTTGGAAATACAGCTTGATTTCGCCACTTTGTAACCCTTAGAGATCAAGAACGTGCTCGTTTTCAATGTTGAACTAATAATTAATTATTTCTTGGAACTTGTAAAATCGCAAATTAATCTTATTTAGCTTTAACGATATTGAGTTCTGTTATGCAGATAGGTTGGTCCTCTAATTTGAACTAATGCGTGTATACATACATACGCTGAGAATTTATAGAACATTTGGTTTAATATCCAATAAATTCCAATTAAACATAAATTTTATGCATTTTTTGGTAAATTTCCTAGTGCATTCATTAAAAAAACATAATTCTCTCTGGTTTTACTTCATCAGTGAAAAATTAAAAAAAGTACGGTTTTTTCTATTTATACAAAAAGTGAACACAAAATAGAATATAATAGATCTCTCAAATGTGCGAATGTGGAGAATGCCACACAGATGCTCACTCATTCCTTTTACTTACATCAGCGTCTAACGAAAAAGTCAATGAATCTTTCGTTTATTTGTGTATTTTAATCATCACCTTTGTGGCAAGTAAACTTAAAGGTAAACTCAAACGAAAAAAAAATTAAAATAATTAACGCGTAAACAAAACCAAATTGCTATACACATACGCGATGAGAATCACATCTGTTGCTATCAAAAAAAATATAAGCAAAGAAAAGCGAAGAAATAGAAGAAATAAAAAGAAAAAATCGCGAAAAGTGCTTGCTGTCAAGAAACGCATCAGCCAATTGATTCAAAGCGTCAGCCGGTCATATGTTCATATGTAAGTATATAACTATGTAAGTCAACATGCCGATCGAAACTCACACACACAACTATCTAAACTTACGTGCATCTGCGGTCATCTCTTTTTCATTGGACGCATTGATTTTACACTCAGCTAAATTTTCGCGATCCCACGCGGTTCTAGCATTCGCTTCGTCGTTTTCATAAACTTAACCACATAGCTTTAAGTTTTCTTGTGAGAATATCCTAGATACATAGGTATATGTATTACATGTCTGCATGTATGTATTACCAATACATATCAAAAAATAAGAGCATGAAGATATGATCACCTTCGGATTGGGCATCGGCACTTCCACACTACCCCAGCATCACTAACGGTACATATGTATCATCCGCAGTGGCGGCTCTTGGCATTACACTACATCGGGCATAGTTATTGCAAGTGGAAAATTCTTTCAGTTGGTGTTTCGTACTCGTCGAGTGTTGTTCTCGGTTTCTTCCTCAGAAGATTTTCCGTTTCTCATCTAAAATAAGTTTTCTTTATTTAATTCATACATAGTATATATGTGTATATATACATATATACGTCGCGCTCCTTTGAAATAAAAGAAATTTGCTATTTAATAATTCAATCGGGAATAACCGCATCGTTTTACATTTGGCATACCTTTACGTGTACGGCTAATTTGTGTATTGATCTCTACGTATCCAGAGTTTTTGGTTAGTAGTGCGTTGAAATCTTTTTTTTCCAAGAAAAAAAGTGAAATTGCGAAATCGATTTCTACTGTAAGCACACCGGAAATGTTCAGAAAAGTTACATAATAAGCAATTTTTTTTTTTTTTATAAAAGAATACAATATGAAGAGTCATATTTGTAAATTATACACGCACACATAAACGTACAAGTCTTGAAATAAGTGAAAATGTGTGGAAAAAAATTTGAATGACTTTATTAAGTGGCAGAATTTGTAATAATTACATTTCAATTTCGTCCAACACTTATTTAAAAAATACCTTCGTATTCACTCGTGAAATTATTCCAAAAGCAAATTGAATATCGAAAATTGGTCGGTGGAAGTGTGTCTAGTTGAGTGTGTTGGCCACTGACAGTAAAAGTGTTCCATCAGTTGCAGTAAATCGGCTACAGCACTATCAACACCAACAACAACGACAAGAACGACAAGAACACCAGCAAGCAGCAGACAGCAGCAGTAGGAAAACTCACAGCAGAAAATTCGGTTGAACAAGTTTAACGAACTGAGTTCATTTCTATTTTTGAAATACGAAATAATTTTCCCAACTTTTTTCTCTTTTACTTTTATTTCATTTAACGAATTGGCCACAAAGTGTGCGTGTGTGTTTTAATATGGGAACTGCTGTTGGCTTATGCTTATGCGCCTGTTTGTAGTTCTTATTGCTGTTGATTTTGCTGATGATTTGAATGCTGCGGCTGCTGGTGATGGCTATGAGTGTGTGATTATGGCAATAGCGGCAGCTGTATGTGTATGCTTATGTGGCTGCGTGTTGTTGGCTAGCGCACAGTGCCTCATAGCCTTGCCATGGCCTAAGTGTATGGTCCACACTGAAAATATTTTTTAATCGCTCGATCGATCGGCAGATTGAGAAGAAAATGTGCTGTGGACAAAAGAAACGAAGAATTGTACTTATGTCTATCAGGAAGACGCTTATTTTATCTAGAACTGATGCTTACTGGGAGAATAGGAGAATATTATTTTCGAATAAAGTAGTAATAATAAAAATGGTTACAAATTGGAAAATCTAATTGAAAAGGCCTTAATAACGCCAATATTAATTAAAGTAGTTATTCTACTGGCGCAAAATACGTGGCGTCAGAGGTTCGATTTGAGGCAGGCAAGTAAGCCGAGTGGTTAGAAGTGCACACTACCTACCGTTCAGACGACCGGAGTTCTTGTTCTGTTCCGATCAACATCCAAAATTAAAGAAAACTAATTTCTCCAATACCGCTTGCCTGTCGTCGGAGAATTACAAGCCCCCAAGTGTGATAAATCGGCCGTTCGAAGGCAGCTTTTGAAAAAAATATTAAAACACACACCACTCTAACAAGCGTTCGGAAACTACTTACTTAGAACTGCAGTTAATTACCTGTGAGGGATATATTTGTATGAGAAGACACGCCACAAATTGAAGGAAAAAGCTCAGCCAAACATTTATTAAATGGTTCTGGTCCTTATACAAATTAAAGTTATGCTATCTCTGAAGAAAAATAGAATTTTTTTATATTTAATTTGTATTTTTGAAATACAGTTTATTGGGGGTAAATTATAGCTGAACCTTCAATATTTTATTTGGGACTTTTATGATTCTTTTTTGTATATAGACAGGCGGGACATCCTCTTCCACGCTTCCATTAAAATCTGTTACATCTGTTGCTTGTTTTAAAAGCTGCGCTTTCTTAGTTTCGACTCTAAATGACCCAAGAGATGTTGTATTGGCTTAAAGTTTGGGCTTGGTGTAGGCGTTTTCATTATTCCATTTATTACTTCAATATTTCCCATACCAGATGACGCCAAACATCCCAAAATCATTAAACCACCATCTCCATGTGTAACAGTGGCAACTGTATTGCGTTCTTCTAGCTCCGTATTTTGTTTCTGCCATCAGACCCAAAAAGGTTAATTTTACTCTCGTCCGCAAATATTACATTCGACCAAAACGATTCCGGGTCTCTTACATAAGCTTTTGCAAAATTTTACTAATATAAAATTTTCTAAGAATTTAGTTGATGACGAATACTTTTTTATGCCGCTGTAGTTACTGCTAACATATAAATAATTTTTGTGAAGAAAATCAAAGGTTTCAGTGACCGTTGCTAAACTATTCATTGGTAAAAAATTATTTCTTTTCGAGTTTCCGCCCGATTGTAGTCACTTGCAGTTAGACATTCGCAGCTTTTGGTCTTGTTTTTAACATCAAAATTTGATTGAAGAGCAGCCGTATTGGACACTTTTTTCAATTTTGCAACAGTATTTTCATATAATCCATTAAAATAATGATCTTGATATACTGACCTACAAATTAGTTCTCTCGTACGTGCCAATTTGAGTATTTTAAATTAAAGAATAATATATATATATTTACAGAGTCCTTGCTCTAATCTTTTTTTAATTAAAGAAATTATTATTGTTCAGTCATTTGTGCAATAGATTTTTTTTCCAGTGTATCAAGCAATTTTTATAGCCTTTTATTAAAATTAACTCAATTTGAATTCTCCAAATTATTGGCTATATATTATTTTAATGGATAAATTCGCTAGTGTATAAATGTAGAATAAACAAAACTTAGGATTGCTCAACAGGAAATATGTATCTACAGAATATGCT